CCGAGGGTTCGGATCCCATATAGAGACCGGTCCGCTCACTGGTTGAGTGCGGTGCGGACGCGACACCGCAAGGGTTGCGATCCCGTTGCCGGTCGCGGTACAGGCGCAACACTGAGGGTTGCGATCCCGCTACCGGTCACGAAAAAAGACAAAAAAAGGGGGAAAACAAACAAACAAACAAACAAATAAATAAATAAAAGATATTTTCATTTAAAAAAAAAGTTCCCACAGCAATTATTTAAAGAAGAATGACAAAGGTGAAGTTAATATATAGACTAGAGAGGAAATCAATACAAAATAAATATCTAATATATCTTTTTCTGTTTATCTTAAGGATCTATGAAGAGTATCATGCAAATGTTTTAGGTAAGAACTTTGTTTCCATGTTGTATTCAAATCATCCCGTAATTTATATACTTCATCAAGAACACATACAAATTGTATAGAAAAAAAGGTTATAGCATTCAGTACTATAGCATTCATTTAAGTATATGAACACTTTTTAAAAAACATTTCAAGCTCATATCCCTTTACAGTATTATTATCTTAATTACAGAAACTAATCTGTTTTATCCGTAATCTTCTATAATAGAAAGCTAGCCAATAAACAATATATACCATTCATGCAGGGAGCAAACATAAAATGACTCAGCACTGCCCAGATGCAGGAACTTTTTGCCACTGTTTTCCAGGCAGCTGTTTCTCCCACCAGGAAACATTAATGTAAGCTGTTGCAACATTATATTCCTGCATCACAGTGTAAGGCCAAAACCCTACACAACAAAAAACTCTAGATCAAAGAGCAAAAGTTTGAGAGAACACCTAAATATATTCCCACAATGCATGTTCTATAGTTCCCGGGCATGGAGAACCCTGCACACAGAGAGAGAGACCTAGATCAGGAGGCAAGCTAACATAAGTGGGCTTGAATGTGGCCGTTTTATAGTATCACCAAACAAGCAGAGTCCTAACGCAGCAACCATAAGCATTATCAAACTGTACAGTGGTACATCCAAGACTAGACAAAGAATTCAAGTATACTGTTAAAACTTTTCAGACATGGTTTTTGCCCTGCACCACTACAGGCGTTCCTTGGTCTCCCTGGTCAATGTCCCTAGTGTACACACTTGGCCACAATGCTGCTGCCTCAGCCCGGCCCTGAAAGTGAAGTGCATACTTGTCAGCCTGTGGGTCTGAGTATGCCAGTCTAATTACCGAAGCCACGAAGACGTCGCCGATCATTTCCACTGAGTCCCACTCAGATACGCGGCTGGCCAGTGCTATCTGAAACATGGAGTGGCACTGCAGGATTTCTTTGACACGGTAGAATACCATCTTCAGTTTCCTCTCACTCAGAATCTTTGGCTCCATCTCAGACAGTGGTTTCTCATATTGCTAAGACAAAATAAGTAATGACGGTTCAGACATTTTAAAGGGCAGGGAAAAGAATATATAAATATTCACTTGTGTAAATTACATTTATTTCAAAACAAATCACGTGTTGATGTTGATACACAAACATGATACTTAAATTCTTTTAAGAATTNAAAAAAAAACCGGGGGGGGGGGAGAAGATATAACAACCACAATTACTTGAAGTTGACAAGACAAGCAAACAGAAGGGACATTTTTGGGGGGGAGGGAGGAGAGGAAGGAAGGAGGGTGGTTTTGGTAAGGGGCAAAATTAATCAACCACAATGTATATCGACAAAATAAAAGATGAGTTCCAGAATAAAAAAAAAGTCATAGAATTTACAATACACATTTTAAACTAATCTGAATCCACCTTCAAACACACTATTGTACTTCACAATAAATAAATAAATAAATAAATAAGCAGATTACTCTTCATAATGGGGGTGAGCCATGTCCAATCAGTAGAAAGCCTAAATAAAATAAAGATTGACCTCCCCCAGGCAAGAGGGAATTCTCCCCCACCCCCCAAAAAAAGAAGAAAGGCTTCCATCTAAATTATATATTATTTTTTTAAAAAAAAGATGTTTTCTGGGCCGGCCCAGTGGCGCACTCGGTAGAGTGCGGCACTTGGGAGGGCGGCAGCGCTCCCGCCGAGGGTTCGGATCCCATATAGAGACCGGTCCGCTCACTGGTTGAGCGCGGTGCGGACGCGACACCGCGAGGGTTGCGATCCCGTTGCCGGTCGCGGTACGGGCGCAACACAGAGGGTTGCGATCCCGCTACCGGTCACGAAAAAAGACAAAAAAAGGGGGAAAACAAACAAACAAACAAATAAATAAATAAAAGATATTTTCATTAAAAAAAAAGTTCCCACAGCAATTATTTAAAGAAGAATGACAAAGGTGAAGTTAATATA